TAGGCGCAAGCGAATTATGTAAATAAAATTAAACCATATGTTAGTCCCGAAATGACCTAGTTTGTGTCGAGTGGACGTTAAACCCCATTTCTCTCTCTCTCCCTCTCTTATAAATATATTACTGATATTGATACTGTATGTAAAACGGGATCACACTTTATGCAACTGTAATATAAAATCTTGAAAACTATACGAACCTTGTTACCTCTTACTATTTTTGTAGTTGCTTTTTATACGCCCGCACTGAAATGTGGTCGTATATTGTCATCGCCCCCGTCCGTCCGGTGTCCACAATTGCTTGTGGACGCTTTGGAGGCTAAAGTTAATATCCGATTGACTTTAAATTTATGCACAGTGTTTAAGGTCATGAGACGAAGAAGTCTATTCATTTTCATACTAAGCGTTAGCATGGGGCAGAATTTTATAAACAAAAAACAAATTCTAATGGTTTTCTGATAAACTATCCAAAAACAATTCAAAATTATTTTAGTGCAAATCTTGTGATTTTCAGTGTTCATGAAACGAGGCAATTCCGAAACAATCTCGACATCATAAATTTTAAAAACGTTTTGATATGCAGACAACATGCAGTAGAAGATGTGAAAATAGATTATTGAATTACCTTTAATTTAGGACAATATTAATACATAGTATTCATAATGTTACATAGTGTTCAGCGTCTATACAGGGAAATATTATCGACTAGTGACGTCAGTTAGTTTCGGTTTCTTCATGAATGAAATATTTCCTGGTTCTTAACAAATCGCCATTTTGTTCCCAGTAGTCGGACTTTAAAAACCTGTCGTGTTATATCAGTGACTATTTTGGATTATATTCTCTGTAAGTATAAATTATTATCTTATATTAAGTTAGTAACACAACTGTATACTATGATATGTATACTACCTGATTTCTTTTACAACAAACGATGTAATTATTGATATTTTAATATGTTGTGTGTTGATACAGGTAGATCAAGACAACACGTATTACGATCTATGGTTTTATAAAGTAGATCAGGGGATAGGTGGCCAATGGTTTAAAAAGTGCGGGTTAGATCATCAAATCTATCTTTCGATTCCCGTCTAGTACTTGATAAGGACTAAGGTTGTCTGTCTAAACTCGTGGGTTTTATTTGGGTCCTCTGGTTTCCTCCTACTAAGTCCTACAGCTAAAGACATGTACGCACAAGTGAATTATTGAAATAAAATTGAACCATTATGTTAGTCCCGAAATGACCTGGTTTACGTCGAATGGACGTTACCAAAGCCCCCTCCACACCACCACCGCTCTCTCTCTCTCTCTCTCCCTCTCTCTCTCTTCGGATAGGTATAAAAATGATAATGTCCATTAGGTAGTCTACGAGCTGTTTTATTTACAGCAGTTATTTACATCAGAAATCAAAAGCCAATATTTAAATGATAATGAAAATAATAACTACACCGCCCCACAATCGCTAGCAACTTTGAGGCCATACTAAATTAACTGGAAATGGATTAGTAGAAGACATTAAAACTAAAAACTGAGAATGTCATAATCCTCCCTATCACAATACTTATCTCACTTGGGGCTGATGTACTACCCAGAAACTGCGGAGTTTAATTTATCGGTTATTATATGTTTTGTAAGCATTATTTTTGTTGTCTTTAAGGTTGTGTATAATAATAATAATAATAATAATAATTTTATACATTCATTATGCAGACCATAAGACCTGTAGATAAATAAAACATTTGAACATATATACAGAGTCATTTTTCAAAGCAATTATAAAGGATTTAGTTTTTGTATAATATATGGGCGGATATTTTAAACACGGTAGATTATTTAATAAATTAACTTATTTTATTTATTCGTTATGCTCATCATAAGATCCAGAGATACATATAATATTTATGCATATATAAAGTCATTTATCATGAATTGATGAAGAATTGATAAAGAATTTATAAAGAATTTGGTGTATATTGTATGGACAGATACTTTAAACATTGTAAATTATTTAATAAATTACTTTACTTTTGGGTTTAAAGATAATGCAATATAATAATGTTGAACAATGATAAGTAATTATTATATTTCTAGTTTAATTGCCTGTTATACATAGCTTTATATGTATAACAGAATAAGGAAATAAATCTATTTATATCTACACTACAATGACATACTTGATGGCATTATGCTTTTTTTTAGGGGAGTGGGGTAATATATTGAACAATCATAAGTAATTATTTTATACATAGCTTTATTTATATATGTGTATAACTGAATAAGAAAACAAGTCTATTTCTACACTACAATGATGGCATTGTGCTTTGTTAGTATCTAACTTGATCACAGATATTATAATAATTACCAATTACCCTCTTCAACCATACCACACTTACGTAATTAACAAATAGAACAGTTAATTTAATTCTTTCTGAACAGAGTCAATCGATTATAAGATCTATATTTCGATTCCCTTTTTTATACGTGCGATGCCCTACACTACATGAAGATCTGGCCAATTGGTTTTGGGGTTGTTTTTTTTTGGGGGGGGGGGGCGTCAGAGGTCAAGTGAGCGACTTTTGACCCTATGGCGTCAGATATTTGATTAATCAATCGGCATTGGTGTTTCTATTGGATTACGCACAGTTTCTTGCAGTTCACGCTAAAAGCTCGCAGTAACAGACCTTTGCATTGGCTAATAACTCACATCCCCAACAACTCGTCAATGATAACAACTCTTCCAGATCATAGACAAATAAAACGAAAATGTGAACTATGAAAAACGAAACGAAATAGGATCTGTGTTTTAATCAGATTGGAACAGATTGTGAGCTAAATGAAACCAATTTTGCAATATTGCATATTTCCCCTTATGTTTTATGTGTTCTGTTAAGTACAGTTCCTCATATAAATTGGTTTATATATCCAAAAATCTTTGAATTCTAGTTGATCCATTACTACATGTTAATATCAATTAATCTTTGTGAAAAAGAAAGGTCGTTCGATTACCAAGTTCGTCCATGAATCAAACATTATGCAAAAACCATTTGAGCTCAATAGTAGCATAATTCTAATTGCCCAAGTTATCCTCCCAGGAATGTCAAGCTTCCTAAACATTACATATACCTGTTTGGGATATCTTTTATTACATCAGGTTTTAGCCATTACAGTAGGTTTTAGACATTATAGTAGGTTTTAGCCATATCAAAACTGCTCTGATGTATTTTATATAAAACAAATTTATAGAACCGAGACTTCACATTTTCAATATCCCGTCTATATTCATATCCCCATATTTCAGCACTTTTCAAGAACACGGTGTGCCGAAGCAAAGCATTTATGGGACAAAGCTTTGACTGATAGACAATATACAGCCGTTCATTTTGTCGTACCACGCCTCCGTTTCGTAATACTACAACCTTTGATTTTGAAGTATTTACATTAAGGATGACATCAGCATGTAATATATTTAATTTCTTCTGTAGATTATCTACCGTGTTCGATAGCATATCCAATGGCATTAGTAAATACCCACCTAACGTCACCACAGTTTATGAAAATGAAAAAAAAGACAACTTGTCTGCGATATCACCTTCGGTGGAAGTGGGCGTTAAACACTAAGAACAACAACACAAAATAAGACAGGGCTTAAGATGCAACCTTAACAAACGCCAGAGACACTTTCGAAATATGCAGTTAGATTTGAACCAATTTTGACACATGATTTTATAGAGAAATACATATTGTTCAGCGTTAAATATGAATGTGTATAGATTATTATGTACTGGCGTTATTAAGGAGTTTTATAATAAAATCATGTTCATGCTGTATCTCTGATCATAAGTAATGTTGTCCTTTAATTTGTTATCATCTTCGATACTGATTGACCTAATGTTATTGCTGCTGAATTCTAATTAGAAAATAACCCGGGACCGACACTGACAGGAATCGAAAATGGAAAAATGCACTGTAGTTAGATTCTAAAATTGTTTCAAAAACACGCAATGGACAATTTTACATATCAGTTATGTCACTTAAATTAGTTTATAACAGGGTGTTTAATTTGCGCGTCGTCGTTGTAGCGTGATCCTGACTCGTCTATTTGACAAACGATCCATTATTTGATTGAATATTAACCCTTTTCTTCACTTAAAACTGAAAATAAAATTGAAAAGATTTGACTGGATAGCATTTCTAACATATGTGTCATGGGCACGATCAATCTTTGCTATTCAATAATCGCTTGTATATCAATATTTTATAATAAACAATTTTAAATATGTTTAATACACTTGTTGATATCAATAATATATAGTTAAATAGGCTCGGCATAGTTTAGAATTTATCGTTTGGGAACCTTCCCTTTTCAGTTGAATTCAGCGAGCTGTCATTGTTAACAGCGAATATTAGTTTACCATATACAATACATAATGTCGTAAACACATGCGTTATATATGTATGACCTATTTTTAAGATAGCGTTGCTTAGATCCCACCTAATAACTATATACTATACCGCTTACAGTTAAGCGATGCATTTTAAACGATGCATTTGTTTCTTAAATATGCATTATTTAAGAGCTAAATCTGCCAATTGCAGGTCTTGTCAAAACTTCAAACATGTATTATTATTGTTCGGAATGAAGTAATGGACTGAAATTTTCAATATATTCATTTTTCATTATCTATTAACTAGTATTATAGCGATAACAACTATTGCTTTATCTAAATCTTACAATGAGTCCGAAACCATAGACTACGTGACACGTGTAATCGGATTATAAAATATTCATTATGTCCTAAATATTTTCGCCTGTCCAACGTCGTGGGTTTTCTTCGGGTACTCCTGTTTCTTCCCATTGCTAAAGACCCCTACGCGCAATCTAGTTTGTGTCGAGTGGACTTTAAACCCTACGTTTCTCTTTCACAGTCATTGAGTACATGTAAGTAGGAATTCCCAGTGATCCTATAAATAAGTCGCTTCTGGGTATTCCCGATTTCCCAGAATTCCATTCTTCCGTGCTCTGATGATAGACACACATTTAGGGTGGTGTAGGCCTAACCCGTTGTTATAACCAAGTTACCTTATAGATTTAAGGGAGAAGGAAAAACCATATATATCAAAAGCACCCTTACTAACTACAGCTATTGACATCGATCAAGCCTAAAGTAAGTTATCATATAATTTGACGTCAAAAGGTACGACTTATTAATACATGTAACTATATATTCTGACTTCAGTGGTTATAAATAGACCTGTCATCGCTTCAAATACTGTGTAATGAATTTAAAATAAAGTGTGCTTCATGTCTTATAAGTTTGAAATGTGTTAATGGAAAATATACAGAGCCGCATGACACGTTTAGGCTTACAAATGTCATTTTATACTGATCGATTCCGCCATCTTGATACAGTATTCATCCATTCACGGTTTGAATACAACCACGTCACGTGGGTTTTTAGCTGGGTTTATTTTTATACTTCTGTCTGCTCTATTTGGTTATAATAATTGTACATATATATTGAAATAGTGCATGTCTTTAGATTTGTGTGAATATAACACAAACTTAAATTAATAACAAAAGTGTGTATTAAAACTTAAATACGGTTTTAAAAATATATATTAACTGTATTAAAATAGTGCATGTCTTTAGATTTGTGTGAATATAACACAAACTAAAATTAATAACAAAAGTGTGTATTAAAACTTAAATACGGTTTTAAAAATATATATTAACTGTATTAAAATAGTGCATGTCTTTAGATTTGTGCGAATTTAATACAAACTTAAATTAATAACAAAAATGTGTATTAAAACTCAAATACGATTTAAGAAAAATATATAATAACTTTACACACACATTGAAATAATGCATGTCTTTAGATTTGTGTGAATTTATGAAAAGGTAAAAATAAAAATAAAAACATGTATTAAAACTCAAATACTATTTTTAAAATATATAATAACTGTACATAGACATTACAATAGTTCATGTCATTAGATTTGTGGGAATTTATTAAAATCCAAAACTAAAGATAAAAACATTCATTAAAACTCAAATAGATTTTAAAAAAATAATCACGGCAATTTATAAAGTAGTCAACAAAATGAAAAAAGGACCCTAGTTTAACACATGATAAATTCTAAACTCATTTTAATAATTTGTCTTTAAACCTGTCGACTGTTAATGACGGCGTTATTGAATTTCTGACGTCATATGATCATGAAACTGATCATACCACCGATTAGATTTTATACGCACAAATGTTCATGTCGATGTATAATGTCGTCGCCCCTGATCGCTCGGACGTCCGTTCACATTTTGTTTGTTGACACGCTACAGGTCACAATACTTAAAATTAGTCCCTACACTGTTAGAAATTTTTGTAAAATTACAGTAGTACAAGTAGTTTTTGTACCTTAATTATCGGTATGTTCACCACAATGTAGTAGTTTTACCAAGTGTGGCGTATTTTAACGGAGCTTCATGTACGTTTATAGAGTTTCGTGTCTTTTTTTACAATAGACGGTGATGAAATCAAAGACACATTCAAAATCAGTAAAAATACATTCTTACATATGTAATATTTCCAAACTGAACTCAAAATAAACAAGCTTGCATGTAATTTTACAGATCTTACGTTTATTCACATTATTTTGTAAATTTACTTTTAGGTTAGAAATATAAATAAAATTACAGCAGTTCTCACTATAATAGTTAAAAACTAGATAATGTAATGGGAATATGCTGAAAATTTCTGTTAAATTGATCCCCTCGGAACCGAGATATTAGAGACTGAATGTTAGGCCTAGCCTCGATCAACATTACTTATTAAGTCAGTACGATAAAAAAAACATAGTCTTGATTATCTATTTTTGAATTTAATCATTAATGAGCGTTGAGCCCCAGATCGGACTCAAATCCAGTGAAAATCCAACACATAAGATGGCATCCATGAGTTGATTATGATCTTTTCATGTTAATAAATGTCTAATTCATAGTTTATAGAACATATCAGGCCTAAAGAAAGACCTGCAATAGGCAGATTTAGCTCTTGCATAATGTATGTTTAACTTATTGGTAGTTATCGTATTCGGTAAATTTATTGTCTCTTAGCATGCAATTTTACAGATTTTACGTTTACTCACATCATTTTGTAAACTTTCAGGTTAGAAATATAAGTAAATTTACAGCAATTAAATTTTTACCAAAAATGTTCTAAATGTTTACCAAAATGATGTATATTTACCAAGTTTCATTCTTTTTTACAATAAACTTTGATGAAACCAAAGGCACATTAAACCCCGGTAAAAATACATGCGTAATATTTCAATATTGAAATGAAAATAGCAAAGCCAGTAGGTAATTTTACAGATTTACGTTTATTCACATTATTTTGTAAATTTACTTATTGGTAAATTTACTGTCTCTTATGTTAATTTACTGTCTCTTATTTTATTTTAGTATTCCATAACAACGAACCATTCCTAATAATTATTTTCTTATAGTATTCATTCTAATTTATTAACCATAATATGGACAATCACATTTTGTGAAATTTGGTATATTGCATGTTATATATATTTAATTTTCTTTATTTATACGATCTAAAACGTGTATTATTATTTATCGTGCGTTGATCAGATTGTAAGTATGTTCATTAACGTATAAAAAAAATGTTTTGCTTTCTTGTCATAGATAGTATTATCTCGTAACCAAGGTCAATTGAAGACGGTTAATTAAACCGATTGGTCAGTGTTAGCTTGACTGTCTCTAGAGCAGAGTTACCATGCCTGCAGTAGACAGTACCACAAGCTTACATCTAAAATCCTGGAACGGAAGTTAAAATCATTGTGTTTTTTTTAACATTTGTCTGTAATTTTTCATTTACTGATTTTAGGTAAATTTACATTGGGAAGTCTAAAAACAAACTTACTGTAACCGTTCATTTACTGTGTTGCGGTGAATTTACAGTCCAAAGTTAAAAAACAAACTCATGTTATTTTCCATTTACTGTTTTAAGGTAAATTTACTCACAAAGTCAAATTACAGAAACTCTGTAATATTACAGCTGAATGTTTATTTACAGTAAATTTACTGGCAACTTTTGCTGCCAGTAATTTTCATGTAAATTTACCAGATTTTTTCTAACAGTGTACACCATAGGCAGGGGCCTCACGAGATGGGGCGCAGCCGGCGCATCTCCTCGGGGCCCATAAGAGTCTATGGCGCCCATGAATATCAAAGTGCCCATGAATGGGCAATTATGCATGCATTTTTTTTTGTTACGGGACCTCGGTTGTTGTACCATCCGAACGCCTAGACAGCTGTCCTTGTCAGGCAAGATTCAGTAAGGATGTCAATTCCATACAATACCATACAAAGTATTGACGATGTTTGATTTGATAAATTATTAACAATATAGATACACCTCCGCTTTTTCCGGACATGAAAGTGTGTTTTAGATAATGTTCCCCCATCTCCGTTTCGTGATCAAGGTAAATCATTTATAATGTTTTATTTGTCAGATAAACCAACAAAATGCCGGGTATGAAAATGCCGAAAGAAAACTCCGACAAAATACGGAGGAAGATCGAATACATATACAGTAATCTGGTCAACTGTGATGATCTTGTTGATTATCTGTTCTCTGAAGACGTTCTTGACTATGATCAAAAGGCTGACATAGAAGAACAAAGAAGGGGTAAACCAAGAGTGAAGAAACTGATAAGCATTCTCATGACCGAATGTGGTGATTGTTATGATACGTTTTTGAAAGGCCTGAGACAGAAGAAGCTCGAGGAAATGGCTGATGTAATAGATTCAGGTATGTTATAAAGGTGAAGCAGAATCGGAAGTTAAATGACACCAGTAGGGTTTAATTATGGTCTAATTAGCTGCGCCATTCGCGCCAAGGAATAGTGGGATACGCCATGTGGTGTGCTATGAAGGGAAGCTTGCCAGGGCAGCTCACCACACGGTATGCTAATCAAGGAAAGCTTGTCTGGGCAGCTCACATTTCGCCTATGCCTTGCTTGACTTTGTATTTGTTCCACCGGACCGACTTGATACTGTTTCATGCCAGGCCCTTCTAGCACTGACATAGGAAATAGCGTATAGTCGTTGGGATGGAACGACAAACCGAGGTTCAGTGTACACGTTGAGGTGCACATAAAATGCCCTGACTGTTGGAATTCGAACAATGAAAACAATTATCTGTATCGCGCATGGTGCATGCCTTTTTTTTTCAATATACCGGTTGGTGCAAAAAAACAACAAACCAGACCCCATTTAATTTCATTTATACAGCATGTGAATGTAGACTATATATTAATACCTAAACAATACTATTCAGTATTTAATCTTTCCTGTATTAAACCCAAATCTTTGCAAGAAAAAAAATCTTTAATCACTTTATAATTTTCGATAATGGAATTGAAACAAAGTTATATGTGTCGCCTAAAATACAGCTTCTATTGTTTCTTTATTGGAGCCTTGTACTGGTTTAGATCGAATTCTGTTTTTATGTATATGTATATTTCTTCTTTTCAGGACCGGAACCAAAGGACGTCAAAATAGAACGACCAATTACACGATCGCAACGAGGTAAGACATATCAAGTTATGAAACAGGTGTGCTTAAAATAGAGTTATTCCCCTTAGGTGAAGCGATGAAAGAATGAGCATTTATGGGTTCTCCACACTTAAGACTTCTAGAATTAGAACACGTTCCAATAACTAACTTAAAATTCGTTCCCTAATAATTGTTATATTTTCTAGTCTTTCATTTGAGAAAACATGCTGATTCTTTATTCGATGTTAACCCAAATACATCATTCCATGTAACATCATCAGGCATGTTTCTAGTTTGCAGGAAGTTGAGATCTGCATGCGCGCATTTGTCCGGTGGGTTAACCAATCAGATTCAGAAATGGTCGCATTCCTGTAAACGTTGTTGTGGGATAAAACGGCAATTGATGATTTTTAGATTTGACAAAATAGAACAATAATTCGTGGCTACCAGTGAACATAATTTCCAAGAATATATTTTGTGTGTGCACAATTAACACCTACCCCCCCCCCCCCAAAAAAAAAACAACATGACGGCAGAATTTTCAACTTTATTCCTGAATATTTCAAAATACGGTTACCCTGGTTACTGAATCACCTGATTAAAATTCTCTATTTTCAATGGTATTTATTGGTCAATTAAGCGAATATTTTTTTCCCAAAGATACGAATAACTCAATACTGTAATGCCACCAATATTTGTGTATGGGAAAACACGCAAAATAATTTAGTTTAAACGTTATGTATTTAATATTATACATGTGGTGCGCGTATCCATGTCTTTTCATGAACCTCTGAATATGTTTACCTTTTTAAAAGAAATATTAGAAAACACGTGTATATATAACATCGCTCGTGCCTTCCCAGTACCCCATGTCATATTTAATATGATTCTATGTGTTTAAAGAAAGAATTAATAATATTATTAATTTACAGATCAAAGGGGAATAACTCTATTCGACCTATCGAAAAACTACTTTTATTTTCTTCCTTGTGTGAATTTTACTTTGATTGTAATTTTGTGGGTGATATTCTATCTGTTATATGTATGTCAATCTTTTACCGTTGCAAAGCGCCATTGAGCAGCTCTTGACTGGATTACAGGGGCTATATACATCAATTATATAATTTATATTATTACACATTTTTTTTTTGTTTCAGGAAAAGTAGAAAAGGGTGCGATGGAAGAAGACCATTTAGAGATATGGAATAGCGAGCAAGATTTCCTGGTGACAGAATTCAAAAACCACATCGGGGACCTAATGATGAAGTTGTTCACCAAAATGATCATAGATTCCGACGACAAAGAGAAAATTAGACGAGAAATAAAAGAAAACTTTAATGTAGGCGGTGCTACCAAGCTCCATGAGATTTTAAGCGATCGCGGTGAACAAGTACTGCCCAGGATCCTTGACGCACTTAGACCTGTTTACAGAAAGGTAGCCAACAGACTTGAAGATAGATTGGCTGAACTGAAATTGGAGAAATTAAATGACGGACGATTTCCAGTACAGGAGGAGGGGTACTCATATTAAGCTGAAGCCTTGAAAATTTAATCTGATTTATCATCGTAAAAATATTTTACATTATTTTATAAATAAAAATAGTATTGAAAGTAATGAAGTATGTTGCAAGTTTTTAAATAGAAACTTTTTTTTTCAAAAATGTATAGCGAACTATTATTAATAATAATAATAATAGTGAGTTCTTATATTGAGCACAGACTCATCAAACTAAATGCCCAAGAAAACATATTATAGTAGAACTGAAATTACCCCATTGTCTTATTAGTAAGTTTGTTTTGCTTTTGGAATACTAATTACATATTTTAATATTTTCTATTACTATTACTATTACTATTTAGCCTTGTTTACTTAATAGATTATTATAAAACATCACAACATCATTTTGTCTTTATACCCGAAACAGGTTTGTTTTAATATTTAACATTTATTTGAATCCATTTAAGCAAAAACATTATGTGACGTACTAAAAAAGTGAACGATATAAAACTGTGTTGACAACTATTAGGTGAATATCTCTTTCTCTTACCCCGTTGGGTTATAGTTGTGTTAACCTCTAATTCTAATAAATGTTAAATCTTAAATTGAGTGAATTTAACAAGTTCGATGCTTCCCTGTGCTTTTGCGTCGTGTTCGATGCAATGTAATCAGATGGATTTTCTGAAATGGCATTCTTAAAGATACATTATGGGAGATAAGATAAAGAGATGGCAGTTCTCGCTATAATAGTTAAAAACTAGAAAGTGTAAAGGTAATTTGCTGAAAATTTCAGTCAAATTGATCCACTATGAGCCGAGAAAGAAGCGGGTGAAATTTTTGCATATTCTCGGTCATCATTACTAAAATCATTAATATAAACAGCATAGTCTCGATTATCCACTTTTTCTGATTTAATGATCAACGGCCGTTAGCGGCATATAGGAATCTAATCCAGCCAACATCGAAGGCTAGCCTTGACATCGAGAGTTTATTATGGTCTGGATAAGTTAATTAATGTCTAATTGATAATTTAGATAACATTTCAGGCCTAAAGAAAGACTTGTAATAAGCAGATTTTGCACTTGCATAATGCATGTTTAAATTAATTTCTTGGGCGTCAACATTTTGTTTAATGACTAGTTGCGTCCCTTAGACTTAGTGATAATGTAAAAGATCGGATAATCTAGCCAACGACATATTATTTTCAAATGTTGACAATGTATCCAGATTAATATTAGTGAGAGAGAGAGAGAGAAATGGGGTTTAACGTGCACTCGACACAAACTAGGTCATTTCGGGACTAACATATGGTTTAATTTTATTTCAATAATTCGCCTGTGCATTGGGGTCTTTAGCAGTGGGAGGAAACCGGAGGATTAATATTAGTAGAATATATTTCTGGATGATAGAGAATAAACATACTACACCTCTTGGTAAAGCTGTATATAATTTCTAAATCCATTGCTTTTCATCGTATCTATAAAATAGTTCAAGATGCATATGAATAAATTCATATTGTGAAGTTCTAGAACACAAATAGCTTAATAATTTGCATAATTTATTTGTTTTCAACTCTTAAATTATTTCTTTAAAATAGAGTGTATTAATCAAATGAAACAAAAGATGTCTACCAATTTAAAGTTGATGTAAATATTCCATTTCATTTGCATTATTCATTTTTTAATGCATCTAGTTCTGTGTGCTTTTTGTTACATCCGATTCTGTGTTCTTTTAAATATATTAAAGAAATAAAACATATTGATATGATATTTTATATTGTATTGAGAGAGAAAGCGAGAAATGGGGTTTAATGTTCACTCGACACAACCTAGGTCATTTCGGGACTAACATATGGTTCAATTTATTTCAATAATTCGCTTGCGGGTAGGGGTCTTTAGCAGTGTGAGGAAACCGGAGAACCCAGAGAAAACCCACGAGGTTGGACAGGCGACCCTACCCCTTGTCACGTATAATCAGGGAATCGAAACCACGACAGTTGACTCAGTGACAGACCTTATAATACAGCGCGCACGTGCTAACCATTCGCCCCCCCCACACACACACACACACCTTTTAGCAGCGGAAAAACACTGCGTTTCCGCGCCCAATTGGTTGTATTCCAATGTGTAGTAAATATCGCAGACATTGCTGGGGAATCCCACATAAATGACGGCATAAGAGGGAAATGTTGCTTTGCAGAGTAGAGGTCAATTTTCTTTGAATCGCAGCCTTTTTTTTATAATAGCATTAACATACACCATGACCAAAATATTCATCATTTTCAAACTGAATGAGTTGCAACTGCGGCGTGTATTGCTTTCTAAACTCTCGCTCTTGGCTTTGAGATCTATTATAAACCAGGGGCCTGTTTCACGAAATTTTAACTAAGATAAAATCCAAATTTTAGTAATTTAACTGGATAATATTAGATTGATTTTAGTGCTTAGCCAATCGAAATTGAAGTATCTACTAAAATTTGGATTTTATCTTTAGTTAAAATTTCGTGAAACAGGACCCCGGTAAGAGCAATCTGATACGATATTTTATTCTATCAAAATCCGGGCTACAAGCTCCCCCAAAAGAGCGCGGGATAATCCCGCTTTACAACAGTAACAGGTCACAAGACCAAACATATATCAGGTGATCGTTTGGCAGGGATATAACATAAACATCCATTCGGGCATGCAAGGACATAGTAGACGCGAGACAAAACTCCGTAACAAGAACGCTTATCGAGCAAACTCACTTATCAGGCTGTTTCAGGTGCGTTTTCCTTCTCTCGGAAGCACCTGCAATCCAATGACCCCACTCCATGCGTATTATACTGAGTTTGTCGCCGGTACAATCGTGCGCGGAAACGGGTACGTAGACAGCAGGATCTCGAATCGAAATTAGGGGCAGGTCATCCATATATAATCACATGACATCCATTCAGAAAGCATATTATCACCACAATGCATATGCAAATTGTATAGGTCGACCAAGTTGAATGTCATAAAGGTTATTTTTTTTGGTCGATTAAACAGCGCTGTATTTAATATTATCCTACTTCGCCTTTATCAAATTACAAAAGTAACTTTATAATTGATACATTTATGCAAGGACAGCTGTCTAGACGTTGTAATTCGATATAGGTGTAGGCCGTAGCGCCGCTGCCCGGGCAAAATTTCCCTCATAGCACACTGTATGGCATATGCCCGTTTTCATTAGCCCCGTTTAGGGGCAGAACAGTTGGACGTTAAACCCCATTTCATTTCATTTGATACATTTATGCACAGTTTGTTTATAATCGGAAAATCAATAAACACAATCTGCACCTTACAATATCAGTGGGAGAAAACCAGACTGGTAGAACAGCCTATAGTTGTTTTTTAATGGGATATTTTCTTTACTATAAATGAATAGGAGATCGGGGAATAGTCCAAATGCCTATGTCAGACCCCTATCTCTATTTTTAATACTAATTATATGCTAATCAGGAAAAGCTGTAGATATACTATATACAATGTAATACACAACCCGCACGTACTTAACTGAATACACCTATAGTATTAGGAGGATTTGGTGACCGAGTGCTTAGCGCGTGCGCAATACATTATAAGCTTTGTCATTGATTCAAGTGGCCTGGTTTCTATTCCCCGCTTGTGCGTAACAAGGAGTGCGTACATGGGAGTTATTGAAATAAAAGTCTTGAAAAATAAACGCTTGTTAGTCTCAAAAAAACTTATGTAAAATGTTGGGATACTAAGCCCTGCTCTATTTATAGCTGTATTAAAATATATAAAGACGCGCACATATTTCATCGCGTATCTCCACCAAGTATTAACCTAAATTATATAAATAGACGCGGAAATATTTCATAATATATCACCACCAGGACATATTTCATTGTAATCATTTTCCAATCAGTTTCATGTTATTTTTAACGGAATCAATTGGTAATCATCGATATTTTGTCTCGGAAATCCACTTGGGTAAGTAAGAATTTAGTTTCTAGAATGTGGAGTGAACGGGGTGGGGATATGTGGGGGTTAATGTGTTTAATGAGTTAGATCATAAGTCTGCTGGTTTCGTTTCTCCGATTGTACATGACAAGGAGTAGGGGATTCTCCGGTTTCCTCCCACTGATAAAGCGAATTAGTGACAATAAAATTGTAGCATTCTATTCCCGAATTGACCTTTTTTGTATCGAGTGGACGTTAATCCCCATTACTCTTTCTCAGCTCTCCCTCGTATCTTGAATGGATTATCCCGTCATATTTGAGAAATAGAACAACCCAGTCTATCAAGCATGACGAAAGAGGACAACTAGTGATAGGTCCTAGGTCCTGTACTATTTGTACATGCCTTGTTAGTATCATTTATCTAATGATTATATTCTCTAATTGGTGACTAGTTTAATGGTAAAGAGGGAAGGCCTCATTTAACAGCCAGGTTATTACACAAATGTTACTATTTTTAGAAGTGACACCAAATGTATATAAAGTGACGTCACATATTATGTATGTCAACATCGCGTGCGATAAACAAGGTAAACATTGTAATTATAATTTTAACAATATGTTATTCTATTAAACTGTCTCCAAACTTATCAGCAGTGAATATTTGCTAAGCCGCTATAATCAATGACAGATTAATTAGCTCACAATAGTAACTTTTTTTCATTCTGTAAATTAAAATTTAGAACATGTTTTTGATAAGATTGAAATCGCATGTACCAATAATTTTAAGAGAGAGAGATAGAAATGGTGTTTAACGTCCACTCGACACAAACTAGGTCATTTCGGGACTAACATACGGTTTAACAGGCGACCCTAATCCTTGTCACGTACGACCGGGGATTCGAACCACCAATAATTTTAAAATAAAATAATAATAAATAATAATAATAATGGATTTGTATATCCAAAAAGTTTGCTCACTGTCGCTGAGTTAGTCCGTCACATTTACGACAGTTTCCCATCATCTGCACTGAATATGTGTGTTTTTAGCAAGGATTTGAATGTACACTATGATTTCCCATCCTACTTTTCTGCATCAACTGGTCTTATAATTTCAAAACTTTAATGTAGATTTTTATTGTGAATGAACACACTAGGAGGCAAAATAGGCTTTGCACTTTCAAATGAAAATCTAAATAGATCATACAAAACTGGTAAGCCGTGAACATTCGCTTAACCGCTACAATCACTGATAGGAAGCGAGTTAATAATCTCCCAATATTAACTGTTTTCCTTCTCCAGATTTAATTCTAACTCATTTTGTTAAAATTATTAAGAACAAATTTTTAATGAGATGAAAGTATATCTAGTACATATAACATACATAAAATAGTACGCGAAGGGGTACAATAAGTAAAAGGCACCAATTCTGCTCGGACCAGTTTGAGTTACTACGAACGACATAAATAACACACGTGCTTTCTAGTATGATGTGACGTCACATGTAGATCTGTAAAATAACACACGTGCTTTCTAGTATGATGTGACGTCACATGTAGATCTGTAAAGCACGTGAACTTACAAAGGTTGAAAGTACATTTGGTACATAAAATAGTACGCGAAGGGATATACTGAGTAAAAGGCACCAATTCTGCCCGGACCAGTTTGTATTACAACGAACGATATAAGTAAGACACGTGCTATCTACGCGGTATGACATGTGACATGTAGACCTATCATGCACCTGAACTTGTAAAGGTCAGTCGAAGATCATCCTCTACAAAGTTTAAAAAAAAGGTTTTCGCATGACCTCTGGGAAATACATTATACACTATATCATATTTAAATAACCCTTCTCCTTTTATTTTCTCTCTGCAGACAGAGGTCCAGAATGGCTGAACACATCCGCAAAGGTAAATTGAAAACAATATTTTATATTTTTCATTGAAATTCAAGTTAGAGTAGCAATTATTTATATCACACTAGAAAACGGTTTCATAAAATTAAAATCATTGCAAAACGTAAATTTAATCTTCAGTCCTTTTAGTTACTATATCACATTTTAAATTTTCAATCTTAAAAATTGTCTGCATTTCTTTTGCCATTGCCTTTTGTTTATATAGAGGGATGACTCGTGTTTTCCTTTTGCGTTCGTCACTTCCAAGTTTTGAAACCTTTATTACGCATCTATCGCAGCAATGATCTCTGTGTTATAATTATATTTAGAATGTGTTTAACCAGTTCTATCACATATGTGATATTGTCCTTTAAATCCCTCAATTTTATTTTTAAATTTGAGTTTAGATCTTCTGCCATACCATAAAAGAAAGTATACTGAGTACGAAATTACCCTACGAACGCAACTTGCAGACGAAATAGGATATATTGCACGATATTTAAATAGTAGCAGTGTTCTGCTTGATTACCAATTGAAGAGAATTTTGAAAGTAGCAAACCCTGAAGATGGTGTATCAGAACTAATTAACATACTTAAAGGATACCAAGGTGGCCATTTCGATGCCTTTATGGAATGTTTGACATATTTCGGTCATGACAAACTAGTAGAGCAAATAAAAGGTATGTATTATTAAGGTATGCAAGCGATAAATCTGCCTATTTCAGGTCTTTATTGTGGTTTCAAATGTTATATAAACTAATATTTAGACATTTATTCCCACGATAAACCCATAAACAACTCCCCGGGTCATCGGGTGGCTGAGATTTAAACGGATTGAAAGACGGTCGCAATTTAATTATTGAATTGAAAAATGGCGAATCGAGGCTAAGTCTTGGATAAAAGCTGTTACCTAATTTGATATGTGACCA